TTTTGCTTTTTGAGACAGGGTTTCTCTATGCAGCCCTGGCTGTCCTGGAACTTGCCTTGTAGACCAGGCTGGCCTCGAACTCACAGAGATATACTTGCCTCTACCTCTCAAATGCTGGGATTAAAGGTGTGCACCATCACACCCAGCTGAAAAACGTCTTAAAAAATACCAAAAAAAATCTTATGATAAACTGCTGTATTTATAATCTAGTTGTTTTCCCTTCTGATCTGTCTGACCTTTGTCCCAGAACTGCAAGTTAGAGACCAGCTTTCCTCTCTCTTTCTTATTCTCCTCTGGAACTCTGGCTTCTGTGGCTCTAGATATAAGACAAAAAGCAATGCCCAGTGCAGCTGCTGGTCAGGAAGGAGGAGACAAGAAGAAACTTACAGAGAACCAGAACTCAAACTAAAACCATTGCAAATGTCTTTTCACTTGATGCCTGAACATATTTGTTTGTTTGTTTGTTTGTGAATCATCAAGGATTCTTTCATTAGCTTAAACATTAAAAGGTGGTGGTGGCGGCGGCGGCGGCGGCGGCGGCGGCGGCGACACAGCCTTTAATCCCAGCACTTATGAGGCAGAGGCAGGTGGATTGCTGTGAGTTCAAGGCCAGCCTGGTCTACAAAGTGAGTTCTGTGACAGCCAGGACTACACAGAGAAGTCGAAAAACCAAAAAAAGGAAAAGAAAATACATGTGCCTGTTGTCTCCATCCCTTTTCCTTGCTAACCATGTTGTTTTTGAATAATTCACTTGCCTTTTGGTTAACTTCATTTCAGGCATAAAACATGTCTTGGCTAGGTTCTCCTGTTCTTGGCTTTTCTCAAAGCTGGCATGACTTGAATCCTTTATTCCTTTTCTAATTGCAAATACTGTGTCCCTTCAGTTTTCCGTACAAATACTGTTCCGGCTTTTCCGTTGTCATTGCATCATTTAAAGCATAATTATCACCTATCAAAAATCCTCTCTTCTATTGCAGGACTTAATATGTCTAAGGCACATTGAAGGATGTTTGTGAATTGTGTGGATGGGACA